GGTCTTTTAGGATACGGATTGATAGGACTATACTAGTAAAGCGACAGCTTTAAGTATAAGTGGGAGATTGTTGGTGTTATATACTTAAGCTTTGCTTTAGTGGATATTACAATTGTTATTTCTTGATGAATTAGAATTATGTTTGGTTAAATAAGTTCCACGTTCTGTTGTTTTGCATGTAGATAAGTGGGTCGTCATCGGGCGTACCGAAGATCACTATATCAGTTACTTGCGAAACAAGAATCATTGATTCACAACCTAGATGGAATTGAACAACCCATCGGAACGGTTGTAGTGTCAACCGTACGGTTTGTCTTGACCGATTAGTTGCACTAGTACCAATGTTTTCCTAGACACTAAACGGTACACGGGCGGTGACCCTCTGTTTAGCGTTTAGAGTGTGTAGACGCTGTTTAGACGGCGTCTAGACGGATTAAACGATTTTGTTACTGTAGCAAGGTTTCATCTGTTTTGTATGTATATAGATGTCAATTTTACATGTAAGAATGAATATTTTACAAATGAAAATGACAGAAGTCACAGAACTGCACATACCTTGCATAATTTGAGTTTCTGAATTTGCATAACTACATGTCCACTCCTTTGACTCCATATAAACTGTGTATATAATTATATATAGGAGAAAATAAATATTGTTAGACAAAGCTATAAGTATTTGGCTGTCTGTTTGCAAACTAAAGTAACATGCAGTAATATGAAAGTTCACAAATCAGTTCAGAATTAGCAGAAGTGGCAAACATTAGGCAAATCACAAATGGTTCACAAACAACCAACACACAAGACACAACATAGTTCTCGCAAGGCACAAATAGGACAACATTACACAAATAGTTCACACATAATAAAAAATAAAACAAGGCCATTGTAGGCTCTGATCATTCATATGACTTGGAGCAGCTCAATCATCACTAGTCTCAGCCCCTCCTCTGCCTCATAGCCTGTTGTGACCACATCTTCTTGGTCAGATTCAAACTCAATTTCTTCCTCGTCAATAGGATCATCCTCAGATTCAGAGTATATGTCTTATTCAATCTCTCTTGGCTGATTTAGTCTTGCACTTCTCCGAAGTTTAGTGACCTCATCAACACCACAATTTTCTGCAATTAGCTGCCATGTCAGGCCCGTAACAGGATCAACTTCTCTGATTTCATCCTCTTTCATTCCTTCCACGATCCATCCTTGAGCACATGTTGCTTCAGTAGCTAGAAGGGGATCCACATTTTTGTTCTTGTGAGCCTTATCTCTCTTCGGTCCATGGAGAGCATTGAATTGAACGAACACAAGTTGCTCAAGCCTCTCACAAGTGAGCTTGTTCCTTTTTTTAGTATGAATCTACAAAAATCAGATTGTGAAAGGAGTGTATACAACACATAATTTGAGAATTTTACGCTCTTCTTTAGGATACTTACCCCTTCATGGCAACTCCAATTTCTTTCACAACCTGATGCACTTGAAGTCAAGGATAGAATTCTGATAGCCATCTTTTGTAATGCTGGTACTTGTGTTCCATAGTTTCCCCACCATTTGGCTGCAAAAAATGGAAACAAAAAATTACTGAAAGTTAGATAACTGAAATACTAACTTGTAGAAATGACAAAAATTTTAACTTGCATACCAGGATTCATGTCAAATTCCTTACAGCCAGCAGCAGCCACTTGTTTTCCAAAATGACCAGCACGGTCTTTGAACTTGTGCACTTCCTCATTCAGTACTTGGGCTTGCTTATCATAAGAAACCGTCCATGACTTCCTCAGATTCAAAGATGGAGTCATCATTGTAGCTGTAATAGGGGTTCAAAAAGTAAGAAGCCTTGTGAAGAGGACAGTCCAGCCTATTTTCCATCTTCACATCAATGATTTCCAAGATAGAACTATACAACCCTGCTGCCTCAGGAATGTTTCCAATAGCCACTTTGATGTCTTCCTTGGCCTTAAGGATTTCTCCATAAAGAAATGCCATTGATGGCTTCACATCCCCATCAACCATCCGAAGTACTTTCACCAATGGCTCAAATACCCTCAAGCAAAGTGAAACAGAACTCCAAAAATTTGGCCTCACCAAGGTGGCTGTGGCTTGCACTTCTTTTGCACTCTTGACATGGCTTATCTTCTCCCACTCTTCACTTTGAGACATCGTCCTTAGCTGCTCCTTCTTCTCATACAAACTCTGCAAGGTGAGAAAGTTGGATGCAAATCTAGTCACGCCTGGCCGAACAATCTCTCTTTTCTTTGTAAACTTCCTCATCAATGCCAAGGTCCTATGGTGTGCATAAATGAAGATTGTCAATGACTTTGCTTGAGCAATTGTGGTCTTGAACTTCTTCATCTTTCCCATTCCTTCAAGTATCAAATTGATTGTGTGAGTTGCACATGAAGTCCAAAATATTTTAGGCCTCTCTACAGACATCAAATCTTTTGCTGCCATGTTGTTTGAAGCATTATCTGTGACTACTTGAACTATATTGTCAGCCCCAACTTTGTCAATGCAGCTGTTCACATACTGAAAAATGAATTCTCCAGTGTGGGACTCGGTTGAAACTTTTTTTGACTCAAGAAAGCTAGTACCAATGCTACAATGGACACACATATTCATAATGCTTCTTCGTTTCTGATCTGTCCAGGCATCTGTCATAATGGAGCAACCATTCTTGTGCCATTCTTTCTCATGTGCCTTCAACATCTCCTTTGTATCTTGAACTTCCTCTTGCAGCAGCTTCTCTCTCAACTCATGCTGATAAGGCTTCTTTGTACCCGGCCCAAAGCGACCAACAGCTTCAATCATTTGATCAAACTCTATATTATTGATTGCATTGAAAGGTATTCCTGAAAATTAATGCAATTCATGGTTATAAACTTGGAAGTTAGGCAACAAAAATGAAAAATCAAATACTTGCTGCAAATCCTGAATCAAACTTACTGCGAACATACAACCATCTTGCCACATATCTCTTGAACCTATGAAGTCTTTCTTTCATGACATGCTCACTGATTTTTTGCTGATGGAGCTTCTTCCCCTTGGCCAACGAATTAGAGTCCATAGGCTTTGTGAAGTTGTCCATAGGACCCATCACACGTGATCCTGAGCCTGTAATCTCATCAAGCCCAGTATTTTCTTCCGGTTCTACATCTGACTCAACATCAATCGTAACAGCATCTCTAACCTCTTGTTCTTTCTCCCTTCTAGCCCTTTTAGCTCTCCTAGACTCATCAATAGCTTTACTGCACTTTGCTTTGTCCTCATCGGTGGCATTGGGGCATGCACGAACTTCTCCTTTCTTGCCGGCAATATGCAATTTGAGCCTATAGATTCCTGCCTTCACGACCTTTGGGCACAACTTGCACTTGATTACATTCTGATCATTTGGATCAATCAAAACTCCATACTCCCACCCCACATCATCAGAATTTCTCTTAAGCGCAAGGGCACGATCTGTCTCTGGCTGGTCCACGGATTGACGAGATGCAGTAGATGACATCCTGCAAATGGCATGTCATCGACCTTTAAATCAGAGCATGAGAGCAATAGGAGTGGATTGGAAGTAGAACAGAGCATGAGAGCAGTACCTGGGAGGCTGGGACCGGTCGGAGGTGGCGCGCAGGACGGAGCCGGGAGGCGTGCGCAGCTCGAGCTCAGCCTGGTCGCCGGTGGTTGACGCCGCATGCGTGAGAACTGGCGGCGGCGTGCGTACGAGCTAAGCGGAACGGGAAAAATCTCATCTTTAGCCCTAGCCTTCGGTACTTATACCCGCCCCAAATTCTCTCAATAACCCGCTACCTGTACCGAAAAAAAAATAAATAAACTTTCCCGCTACCATCACCTAAACGCGACGAGAAACGGCCGTTTAGGCGCCCAGAACCGTTTTGCCGCCGTTCCGTTTAGGCCGTCTTCAACGTTTCTTCCCGTCTTTGACCGTCTAAACGGAAAACCCGTTTAGCTGCCCGCCCAGGCCCTAAGCTCCACGTTACCCTATCGTTTACCGTCTAAACGCGTTTAGACAGACATTTAATACCGTTTAGGAAAACACTGACTAGTACATTTATGTATTGAACAGGATCCCAGAGAGGGATGTTCGTTTTATACT